ATTAAATCATTTCTTGGAATTTTTTTATACTTTCTTAGCTCTTATTTTTTTTAACATTTAAGTAGCTTTTCTTTTCCTTTTTTTTTCTAATTGGGTTATAGTCAGTTTACAATAGTGTGTAAATTTCTGGTGTATACCACAATTTTTCAGTCATACATGAATATGCATACATTCATTTTCATATTCTTTTTCACTGTGAGCTACTACAAGATCTTGAATATATTTCCCTGTGCTCTACAGTATAAACTTGTTTATATATTCTATATATACCTGCCAGTATCTACAAATCTCAAACTCCCAGTTAGTCCCTTTCCACCCCACTCTTAGCTCTTAATGTTTTTCTGTTTTTTTATATGTTTGATCTGCTTAATCATCTATGCTTTCTTTATTGTTTTTTCTTATAATTTTGCTCTTGATTCATTTTTGTTTTATGATGTGTCACAGATTGGTAGCCTGTGAGAGTCCATGTAATTAACAGCACATTTTAGGGTCCTTCTTCCACCACATATCCCTAAAACCACCCTACTGGCTTCCTCTAGTGGATTCCCCACCAGTTTCAAGATTAATTATTAAAAACCCCTTGTCTTATACAACTTGGGAGATACACTGGCTAACTATACTCAGGTTAAGATATTTTTCTTGCATCTTTTAAGCCTCAATTTCACTGTCACTTCCTCTGAGAATTCTTTGACTCCACTAGTTGCCCCCAAAATGTACTACTGTAGCCTACTGGAATTTTCATTCCATATAGAGACTGTGTCAGAAGTGCTCACATCATGGAGCACAGTCTTAGTTCAGAGCAGATGGTCAGTAACTGGTGAACAAATAAGTACAGTGGACATACTTGATTAATTATGATAATATTGCTTCTTTTGATATTATAATGTTCAATCTTTAAGGGGCTCTGGATTTCTGACATTTGTCTCCATCAGCTCCTTTGACAAATTGAATAAAAATGCATATCCTGAGTCAGAAGGGACACTTCTGGTGAGAAGGTACTTTTCCCCAGGAAGTGGGAAATACACTCTACACAAAGTCCAAGGATCTCAACATGACCCTTCAGATTAAGTTGCTTTTCTGGAGGAGTTGCTTCAGCAGATGCTCTTCCTCATAAACAAACACACAAACAGCAAAGGTTGTATTCTTAACATCAGTGAACTTTCTCTCAATTACTACTATCCCTCCACTAGACTATAGATTGGTGGGGGTTTCTCATTATAATCCCCTTTAATGTTCTTATTTCTACTGATGGATCCTTCCAGGCAGTCTAAGTTATTTTCCTGTCATGTACCTCAAAAGTCTTCCAGTTTTTACCCATTATCCAATTTCAAGACACTTGCACATTTTTAGCTATTTGTCACAGGAGCACCCCACTTCCCAGCACCCAAATACATATGGATTCCCTAGGGCTGCCGTAACAAAACCACAAACTGGTGGCTTACAACAACAGAAATTTATTACCTCACAGCTCAGGAACCCAGATGTCCAAAATCAAAGTTCTGGCAGAGCTGTTATCCCTCTGAAGCCACTGGGGAAAGATCTTCTCCAGGTCTTTCTCCTAGTCTCCTGGCTACAAGAATACCAGCTATATTAGATTAGGGCTCACCCTAATAACTTCATTTAACTTGATTGTCTCTGTAAAGACTCTATTTACAAATAAGGTCACATTTTGAGGTACTGAGGGTTAAGACTTAGACATATCTTTTGTGGAGGAACACAATTCAACCCTAAACATCAAGTCACTAGAGTCTGAGGAAATAATGCACAGTTCTTTCAGCAAAGTGCATTTTATGTGGTCAATATGTAAATTTAGAATTGATATATAGTATACACAATCTTAATTCTGAGTTTGCAACATGTGCATCAGGGGTCTGGGCCAACTGTGGCCTGCAGGACAAATATGGACTGCAACCTGTGTTTGTAAATAAGGTTTTATTGTAACACAGGCATACTCATTTGTTTACATTTTGTCTGTGGCTGCTTTCACACTGCAACAGCAGAGCCGAGTAGTTGCAGCAGAAATTTGATGAACTGTAAAGTCTAAAATAGCTGCCCTTTAAAGAGGTTTAAAGACTCCTGATTCAAATAATAACGCTCTCTTATTGAGTGTTTGCCGTGCACTGGCTCTGTGCTCTATGGTTTACATACCATACATTATTTATCTCTGCTTCCCCTTTTTAAAAAATGAGTGTACTGAGCACCAAACAGTATAAAATTTTTGACCAAGATCATATAGCTAGTAGAGTGTGGGACTGGAACTTGAATCCTTGTGGTTCCAGCCACTCACTTGTTTTCTATGAAATTATATGTCCACAGTAATAAATTCCTTGCCATCTGGGGTATAATAATAAATATATTTAGTCTTTATACTTAGTTCCAGGCACTTTGGAGCTCCTAAAACCTTGGAATTTCATGAGCAACAAGGTGTTAGAAATATCCTTTGTTTTAATGAGGTGACTCTGTGAGTTCTTAACTTCAGCATGAGGGCTGGCCACCACAACAATCAAGACTTGATTAAAAGCTTAAACTTTCAGCCCCAGGCCCTGTCCTCTGGGAGGAGAGAGAAACTAGAGGTTGAGTTAAACACCAATGGCTACAATCATGCCTATGTAATGAAATCTCCATTAAAAACCCTCAAATGGTGGGGTTTAAGGAAGTTCCAAATTCACAAACA